ATGGATGGATGGATGGATGGATGATGGATGATGGATGGATGGATGATGGATGGATGGATGATGGATGGATGGATGATGGAAGGATGGATGATGGATGGATTGATGATGGATGGATGATGGAAGGATGGATGATGGATGGACTAATGATGGATGGGTGGGTGGTTGATGGATGGATGGAGGGAGAGAGGGACTGATTGGAGGCAGGGAGGCAGGGATGGGTGGATGGATGGGTGGATGGATGGGTGAAGGATGGATGGATGGATGGATTGATGATGGATGATGGATGGACTGATGATGGAGGGAGGGAGGGAGGGATGGGTGAAGAATGGATGGATGGATGGACTGATGATGGATGGATGGATGGATGGATGATGGATGGATGGATGGATGGATGATGAATGGATAGATGGAATGAGACAAAAAAGGAAAAATCATTGTATTATGCCCAGGAACCCACTTCAAATTTGCTTTTTTATCTGAGATCATTTTTGAAGATGCTTTGTGACTTTTAGGTAAAATCCGGCACTTGGCTTCACTGAAATAAGGGCAGAGGGAAGAGAAGGAAAGATTGTGAGTAACTAGAAGAGGTCAACTGTCTGCTTCAGCAGCAATCATTTCTGACAGAGGTTTCAAGAGTCCTAAGATCTCCATGAAATATGTATGCAGATGGAGTCCATGAATATAGCTTGCCTGCCAGAAGCACAGCCTCAACTTCATCCCGTGGGACATTTGATTGGCACCAAAAGCTGGTCACAGGAAGATCAATATTTCAGCCTCTTTTTGGAGCTCAAGTGTGTGTGTGTGTGTGTGTGTGTGTGTGTGTGTGTGTGTGTGTCTGTGTCTGTGTATGTATGTGTATGTATATACGTATATATATATAGGTCTTTGGTTATTCGGGTCTTCTATCTATCTATCTATCTATCTATCTATCTATCTACCTACCTACCTACCTACCTACCTACCTACCTACCTACCTATCATCCATCTCTCAATCAATCAATCATCCATCAATCTACCAACCTACTGGTATCTATCTACCTATATACCTACCTACCTATCTATCATCCATCTCTCAGTCAATCAATCATCCATCAATCTACCAACCTACTGGTATCTACCTACCTACCTACCTACCTACCTACCTACCTACCTGTATCTGTCTGTCTGCCTGCCTGCCTGCCTATCTAATTGTAAATCTATCTATCTATCTATCTATCTATCTATCTATCTATCTATCTATCTATTCATCCATCCATCCATCCATCCATCCATGTTTAGGGGGACAGTTTCCACCCATTATTCCTCGTCTGGCCTTCAGGTGCTTTGGAAAAATATCTTGACCCCCTTCCTCCTCTCTGTGGTAGCCCCTCAAGTATTGGAAGACTGCTATCCTGTCTCCCCTGGTCCTTCTCTTCTCCAGACTAGCTGTGCCCAGTTCCTGTTCTTCATATGTTTTAGCCTCCAGTCCCCTCATCGTCTTGGTTGCTCTTCTCTGTGCTCTTAGATCAGAGCCACAGCAAAATAATTAGTGCTGAACAGCTGCAGGTGTGAATGGCTAGGACTTGACAGAGCGCGCTCCAAGGAGCCATGGCTTTTTAGAAGCTTTTAGGAAAGTGGATGCTTGATGCTGAGCAAGCTTAGCTTGCTTTATGTGATGACTTCGTCCCTTGATTGCACCACTTCCCGGTGTCTAACCCCTCGGACATCCGCTGTCAGAACACTTTCTGCAAATTTGGCAGCTGGAAGTGAGTGATTTTCATCAGCGGGTTCCACTGATGGAAGACTGTGGATTTTGCAGCTTGGCAAAGTAAGTCAGCCTACTGTTTAGGGCTCTTTTGTTTAAACCCTCTTCTCAGAGTTTTTTTTTTTTTTTTTTTTTAGGCTTTGGAAAGGCCAGAATTTCCCACCCAACTCTCAGAAAAGGGACTAGAATAGGCCCAACATATCTGGACTGCAAATTCTAGTTTGGCCACTAGATGGCGGCAAAGAGATGCATGGAACTCTTGGCTTGACCTCTAGTTGCCACCTGGATTTTTGCAATCCAGACCTGATGGATATCATATCAGGATATGATTGGGACGGGAGGTTCTCAACTTCTTCTTCACCATGGACCTTCCCTTTCAGAGTAACAGAGTTGGAAGGGACCTTGTAGGTCATCTAATCCAACCCCCAACCCCCACCCCACCAAGTAGGTGACCTTACACCATTATTGACAGATGGCAGTCCTTGAAAGCTTCCAGGGATGGAGCTCCCACAACTTCTGAAGGCGACCTATTCCATTGAATATAGAATAACAGAGTTGGAAGGGACCTTGTAGGTCATCTAGTCCAACCCCCCAACCCAAGCAGGAGACCCTACACCATTTCTGACAGATGGCAGTCCAGGCTCTTCTTGAAAACTTCCAGGGATGAAGCTCCCACAACTTCTGAAGGCAACTTCCGTCCCATCAATTGATTGTTCTCACTGTCAGGAAATTCTCTCCTTATTTTTAAAGTTGAATCTCTCCTTGATCAATTTCCATCCATTTGTTCCTTATCTGGCCTTCCGGTGCTAAAACAGGTTTTCTGAAGAAATGGGGGCTATCCAGTGGCTTCTGCTCTTAGTAATTGTGGTGACAGGTAGACAACAACAAATAAGTATATCTGCCATTTGCGCATACCCTTGTTGAGAACCTCAATTAATGTTGCTAGTTTCTGGGCGAGATCTATTTAATTTGTACGTATTTTAATCTTGCATTTTTTATATTTTAAGGTTTATGTCCTACAGCCGTGATGGCGAACCTATGGCACGCGTGCCATAGGCGACACACAGAGCCCTGTGGGCATCTGCGCCATCACCAGCTGTTCTGGTTTCTGAAAAAATGCCCCCAAAATGGCTGCAAAATGGCTTGAAAATGGCCTGGAAAACAGTCCAGAAAACTGTCTGAAAAATGACCTGAAAACACCCCCCAAAAGGCCCAAAAAACGGCCCGAAAACAGCCCGAAAACAGGCCATTTTTCCAGCCAAAAACAGCCTGAAAATGGCTTGGAAAATGGCCTGGAAAACAGTCCAGAAAACAGCCTGGAAAATGACTTGAAAACACCTCACAAAAGGCTGAAAAAAGGCCCACAAACAGCCAGAAAATGGCCTCAAAACAGGCCATTTTTCCGGCCAAAAACAGCCAAAAAAACAGCCTGAAAACAGCTTGAAAAATGGCCAGAAAACAGCCCCAAAACAGGCCATTTTTCCCGCCAAAATCAGCCAAAAAACAGCCTGAATACAGCTTGGAAAATGGCCTGGAAACAGCCTGGAAAGGAGCCCAGAAAATGGCCTGAAAAATGACCTGAAAACTCCCCCAAAACCCCCCAAACAAAGGCCCAAAAAAAACGGCCAGAAACAGACCAAAAACAGCCGAAAAACAGCCTGGAAACAGCCTGGAAAACAGCCTGAAAACTGCCTTAAAAACTGCCAAAAAACAGGCATGCGCTGGCCGGCTAACTTGTCTTTGGGTTTCCGGCGCTCCAGTGCATGGACGTGCACGCATATTCCGGTTTGGGCACTCGGTGCCGAAAAAGCTCCCATCACTGTCCTACAGCTTTCCTCATTTTAATGGTGACATTTCTGACACAAATAAACAAAACATCCGATGGTTAGACAGGAAGAACAGTCCCAAAGTCTCGTTTTAAAAATTTCGTTTGAATCTAAAATCAGGAGTCTTTATGCAGTTTTGAAGTTATTATTATTATTATTCTTTTTTTTAAAGAAAGATGTTTCTTCTAAAGTATGTGTATCTCAAAGTACATTGTTCCATTGCTGGAGGTAATATATCTCTAAATAGAGAGCTGAGGGATTCTTTTTTTCTATATTAAACTATCGATTTTTCATAAACAAAAAGCACAAAAGGCCACGGAAAACAATTGCATCTCGGTTCAGGAAGCTGAAGAATTAGATGCTGCTTTGTGCCCTAGTGGCTGGGCTTCGTGCCTCAAGTTTTTCAAGTTATCAAACCAAAAAATAAAAAATAAAATATGGTGGATATGAGCCATGAACTTCCAAAGGTTCATGAGGCAAAAAAAAAAAAAAAAATTGGCAAGGTTAGTTTTGCCTCAGTTGAGGTAAAGGTAAAGGTTCCCCTCGCACATATGTGCCAGTCGTTCCCGACTCTAGGGGGCGGTGCTCATCTCCGTTTCAAAGCTGAAGAGCCAGCGCTGTCCAAAGACGTCTCCGTGGTCATGTGGCCGGCATGACTCAACACCAGGTTGAATCTCTCCTTGATCAGTTTCCATCCGTTATTCCTTGTCTGGCCTTCAGGTGCTTTGGAAAATAGCTTGACCCCTTCCTCCTCTCTGTGGCAGCCGCTCAAATATTGGAAGACTGCTATCCTGTCTCCCCTGGTCCTTCTCTTCACTAGACTCACCATGCCCAGTTCCTGCAACCGTTCTTCGTATATTTTAGCCTCCAGTTTCCTAATCAGAGGTGGGTTTCAGCAGGTTCTGACCAGTTCTGGAGAACCGGTAGCGGACAATTTGAGTAGTTCGGAGAACTGGTAGTAAAAATTCTGACTGGCCCCATCCCCATCTATTCTCTGCCTGCCAAGTCCCAACTGATTGGGAGGAAATGGGGATTTTACAGTATCCTTTTTTTTTTTTTTTAAATTTGATTGATATGCCGCCCTTCTCCGGAGACTCAGGGCGGCTTACAATGCGTTAAGCAACAGCCTTCATACTTTTGTATATTTATACAAAGTCAGCTTATTGCCCCCACAAACTGGGTCCTTTCCCTAGAGTGGGGTGGGAATGGAGATTTTACAGTATCCTTCCCCTGCCATGCCCACCAAGCCACCCACAGAACCGGTAGTAAAATTTTTTGAAACCCACTACTTTCCCTAATCATCCTGGTTGCTCTTCTCTGCACTCTTTCTAGAGTCTCAACATCTTTTTTAATAGCATGGGTGACCCAAACTGGATGCGGTACTCTAGGCGTGGTCTTACTAAGGCTTTACCGAGTGGCCTTAGTACCTCCCGTGATCTTGACTGTATCTCTCTGTTAATGCAACTTAAGGATTGCGTTGGCTTTTTCAAGTTCCACATTGAGACGGTGCCAGATTTCTGGTGTGTAAAAAAAAAAAAAACGGCAGTGATAAGCTACGGCTAAACCCAATCCGGCTGAAAGGAAGTATGATCACCAGCCAACTCCTCCAGCGTGTGAAAAAGCCAGCGTGGTTGCAAAAGGAACAGAGCCTTTTCAGATGGCTTTGTGATTTATCCGAGGTATGCATCCGCAGACATTCCTCCCTCGGCCTCCTTTTAATTAAAACTATGGCCAAGGTAGGAGGCGGAGAGGCTGGGGGGGGGTAGAGAGAGAAGAAACAGCAAGAGAGACGGAGTGGGCCACAAACCCAGCCTGACAGTTTCAATTTTCACTTACAGCTTCTTCTTCTTTTTTTTTTCTCCCTAGGATTGATATCTTTCACCTTTCTGCTGAAGAGGAGGCCTTCGCTGTCATAAATCAAGTCGGGAGACTGAGTCGACAAAGCTCACAGCTCTTAGCCTAGCAAGGCAGGGAAAACTGCAGTTAGAGCACATAGCCAAGTGACTGTGGAAATGGAGTAGACGGGTCTACGAAAGGAGAAACCAGCTCGGGGAGATAGGTAAGCAGTTGCAGCAGTGGTGGGTTCCTCCCGGTTCGGTCCGGTTCGGCCGAGCCGGTAGTGGTGATGATATGACATTACCGAACCAGTTCTCCACCCCGCTCTCCCACCCCCCACCCACCCATGTTATTCTTACCTTTTATTTGGTCCCACCCCCAATCTATTGCTGCCTCCTGGGTCCCAACTGATGACTAGAGGGAAAAAAAACTGTTTAAACTCTTGCCGCGGGGCTTCAAAGGGCCGCCCTACAGCTGATCAGTGTTAAAAGCAAACAAATGAGTTGGGTCGTATGTGCGAGGACTGGTTGTAAGTGCGAGGACCTTCCAGAAATGACTCTGACCAGCTAGCCACGCCCACCTAGTCACATGACCTCCAAGCCACACCCACAAAATAAGCCACGCCCACAGAACCGGTAGTAAAAAAATTTAGGACCCACTCCTGAGTTGCAGTTTAAACAATAGAAGGCAGACTCACTGTAGTGCCGATTCTACAGGGGCATTCAATCAAAATAGAGCTGGAAGAGACCTTGGAGGTCTTCTAGTCCAACCCCTTGCTCAAACAGGAGACCCTATACTGTTTCAGACAAATGACTGTCCAGTCTCTTCTTAAAAAGCTCCAGTGATGGAGCATCCATGATTTCTTGAACGCAAGCTCTTCCACTGGTTAATTGTCCTCACTGTTAGGAAGTTTCCCTTTAATTCCAGATTGCTTCTCTCCTTGATTAGTTTCCATCCATTGCTTTTTGTCCTGCCCTTTGATGCTTTGGAAAATAAGTTGACCTCTCCCCCCTCTTTGGGGCAGCCCCTCAAATACTGGAAGACTGCTATGTCCCCTCTAGTCCTTCTTTTCTCTAGAGTAGCCAAACCAGGGGTGAAATGTTCCCGGTTCAGACCGGTTCGCCCGATCATCAGAGGCTTTTTTTTTATTTTTTTATTTTTTTTATTTTATTTTATTTCTATACCGCCCTTCTCCTGCGGGACTCAGGGCGGTATACAGCCAAGATAAAACATTGCATATAAAATTTAAAAACAATTTAAAAAACAATTAAATAATTTCGGCCCAAGATTTAAAAACAACCCAATTAAAACCGAATTCAATTAAAACTGAGAGGATGGGATCAAGCCAGCCCGGCTAGATGGAATAGGTGTGTTTTCAGGGCCCGACGAAAAGTCCGGAGGTCTGATATCATGCGTATACTTTTGAAAGCATTTTTTTTCTACAACCTCTTCAGCTGAAGAGGTTGTAGGAAAAAAAATGCCTTTAAAAGCCTCTGGCGATCCCAGCTGAGTTGCCTGATCGTCAGAGGCTTCTAAAAGCATTTTTTTTCTGCAACGTCTTAAAGTTTGATCAGCTTAGTTGCTCTTCTTTGCACTTTTTCCCCAAAGTCTCAACATCTTTTTAGTACCATGGAGACCAAAACAGGTTGCAGCATTCCAGGTGTGGCCTTACTAAGGATTTATAAAGCGATACTAATACTTTGTGTGATTTTGATTTTATGCCTCTGTTTCATACAACCCACGATTGTATTATTTCAAGGATTCCATTCACGACTAGTCAATTACCTTTCTTTGCTTTAAATTTCCAGAACGCTTTGGTAGCTTTTATTTTTATGTCCCGAGATGCAAGACGAATTCATTTTTCTAAAAGTAGTAATATTTGGGTGCGTTCCATGCAAGATTTGTAGTTGCTTGATACTTCTTGTTAGGGGATAGTTTTGCATGGATCGTTTTATTGATTGTCTTTTTATTGGCCAATGGCCGCAATAAAGTTTCTGTTTTCTGTCCCATTGTGGATCTTGTGCTGAAGACCATCTGAATTCAAAGTTTGTCTTTGTGGGTAAAAGGAGGACCCTTTCTGTACGGGCTGCAGAAATCCAGAGGAGCTTTAACTAGGGGCAAAGCAGATCATTAAAATCACAATTGTAGGAGTTGAGCAGGATGAACTGGAAGGCGGAACTAAATGAGTCATTAGTTTGGAATCATTGTGCAGCCACAAGAGACCCAAGCCCAGCTCCCTGTGAATTCCCTTCCCCTGTTATCTAGTGCAGATTTAGATTTGACTGTTAGTCGACCAGGCAGAAATAATAAACACTTCAGTGCTTTGAATTCAGCGAGCTTCCTTGTGCCTGACAACAATAAGGTAAAGGTAAAGGTTCCCCTCGCGCATACGTGCTAGTTGTTCCCGACTCTAGGGGGCGGTGCTCATCTCCATTTCAAAGCCGAAGAGCCAGCGCTGTCCGAAGACGTCTCCATGGTCATATGGCCGGCATGACTCAATGCCAAAGGCGCACGGAACGCTGTTCCCTTCCCAACAAAGGTGGTCCCTATTTTTCTACTTGCATTTTTTAACGTGTCTTCGAACTGCTAGGTTGGCAGAAGCTGGGACAAGTCACGGGTGCTCACCCCCTTACGCAGCACTAGGGATTCGAACCGCTGAACTGCCGACCTTTCGATCGACAAGCTCGGTGTCTTAGCCACTGAGCCACCGCATTCTCCGTTGGGGAGAAATCCTCTAAGTCATCAGAGAATTTTTTTAAAAAAAATTCTTGGAGAGAGAGAAAAAAATCCACAAATGGATTACATTACGTGGCACTTGGGGTTTGAACCGCTGAACTGCCGACCTTCTGATCGACAAGCTCAGCGTCTTAGCCACTGAGCCACCGCCTCCCTCTCCTGACAACAATACTTCGATCTTTTCGAATGTTGCCCCCTCTTTGAAAAGTCGTATGAAAATGGAAGCCAAATATATGTCTCTTCTGTCGACCTTGTTTTCCGCTCATTCTATTATTTCCTAGAAACCGTTTCAACTCCCAGCAACTCTGCCTCATCCAGATGTTTGGGATTCCCGGTTTCTACGCAACTCATCCCACGCTTAAGCGTCCCAGATTGCCCAACCTTAATCTATGCTGTGCATGAACACGTTTTGCCTAGCAGTTGTGTGTAACAGCTTATGAGTAATATTCATACTCATCATTGCCAACGCTGGGAGAAGAAGCTATATATATATATATAATATTGAGGTCTACAATGCATGATTTTTCAGCACCAGGAGGTTATAGATACTGGTTATGGTATCAGAGCGGGAACAAGGAAATACCTGCAGAGTTATGATTTAATTAAAGATAATAAGGAGGCATTCACAAAAGGAAGCTGAGACTAGCACATCTGATCAAACAGTGTTTGAGGGGGGAACAGAAGGAGAGACGAAGAGTTGAGTGCGGTTGTTCAGGGAAGACTTTTTAAAAAAAAACCATGAATAGACCCCATGGGATGCCAATTATACATAATCTCCCCTATCAGTGAGTAGAGAAAGTGGAATAAAAGTAAAAGCAGAAAGATATTCTGCCTTGCAAGAGAAAGATGATTCAGGGACAGAGTTTTTCGGCTTAATAATAATTTTTTTAAAAAGCTGCAGGGCTTATTTCTCTGCTTCGTTGTAATAATAGCTCATGTTTTCTCCAGATTTTTTTCGGCAATTGGTTCCTCTAAATTTACTGGGTTCTCTGCAGATTACTCTTTCTCAACCTTGCTTGGTCCCTTCAGGATGTCTGGACTTCAACTCCCAGAATTCCTCAGTCAGTTGATGTTTGACTGACTGGGGAATTCTGGGAGCCGAAGTCCCAGTTGAAGTCCAGATATGTTAAAGCACACTGGCTGGGGAATTCTGGGAGTTGAAGTCCCACGTTGAAGTCCAGATACGTTAAAGTATACTGACTGGGGAATTCTGGGAGTTGAAGTCCCAGTTGAAGTCCAGATACGTTAAAGTATGCCGACTGGGGAATTCTGGGAGTCAAAGTCCCAGTTGAAGTCTAGATATGTTAAAGCACACTGGCTGGGGAATTCTGGGAGTTGAAGTCCCAGTTGAAGTCCAGATACATTAAAGTATACCGACTGGGGAATTCTGGGAGCTGAAGTCCCACATTGAAGTCCAGATACGTTAAAGTATACTGACTGGGGAATTCTGGGAGTCGAAGTCCCAGTTGAAGTCCAGATACGTTAAAGTATACCGACTGGGGAATTCTGGGAGTCGAAGTCCCAGTTGAAGTCTAGATATGTTAAAGCACACTGGCTGGGGAATTCTGGGAGTCGAAATCCCACGTTGAAGTCCAAATACATTAAAGTATACCGACTGGGGAATTCTGGGAGCTGAAGTCCCACATTGAAGTCCAGATACGTTAAAGTATGCCGACTGGGGAATTCTGGGAGTCAAAGTCCCAGTTGAAGTCTAGATATGTTAAAGTACACTGGCTGGGGAATTCTGGGAGTCGAAGTCCCAGTTGAAGTCCAGATACATTAAAGTATGCCGACTGGGGAATTCTGGGAGTCGAAGTCCCAGTTGAAGTCTAGGTATGTTAAAGCACACTGGCTGGGGAATTCTGGGAGTCGAAATCCCACGTTGAAGTCCAGATACATTAAAGTATACCGACTGGGGAATTCTGGGAGCTGAAGTCCCACATTGAAGTCCAGACACGTTAAAGTATGCCGACTGGGGAATTCTGGGAGTCAAAGTCCCAGTTGAAGTCTAGATACATTAAAGTATACCGACTGGGGAATTCTGGGAGCTGAAGTCCCACATTGAAGTCCAGATACGTTAAAGTATACTGACTGGGGAATTCTGGGAGTTGAAGTCTCACGTTGAAGTCCAGATACATTAAAGCATAAGGTAAGGGAAGTAGACAGCGAGGGGGGGGTAGTAAAAAAATGCTTTAAAAGGGTAAAAGAAAGGTTCCCAAGCTCGCGCACCACAGCTGTGATCGTTAGAACCTCTTTTTTAACCTTTTTACAGCTTATTTTACTACTGGTAGACTCACTCACTGCCTTGAAGATCTCCATACGTTGTTAGATTCTCTCTGTCAACCAAAGGGGAAGGGAGGAGGAACCAACTGGAAACATCTGGACACCAAGGAATCTTTGCTGAGGTATTTTGTGTGGGCGTTTGGTACCATGTGCCTTTTTGAAGTGGCTAAGACTGAGGGTCTACGACAGTGAAGTGGGATAGAA